CAAGGGCACCTACATACATAAAAGAAACTTTACTAAAGCTCAAAACACACATTACACCTCACACAATAATAGTGGGGGATTTCAACACCCCACTCTCAGCAATGGACAGATCATGGAAACAGAAACTTAACCGAGACACTTTGACATTAACAGAAGTTATGAACCAAATGGACTTAACAGACATCTATAGAACAGTTCATCCTAAAATGAAAGAAAATACCTTTTCTCAGCACCTCATGGTACCTTCTCCAAAATAGACCATATAATTGGTCACAAAACAACCCTCTACAGATACAAAAAGATTGAAATAATCCCTTGCATCTTATCAGATCACCACGAACTAAGACTGGTCTTTAATAATGACAAAACCAATGGAAAACCCACGTGCACATGGAAACTGAACAACTCTCTGCTCAATGATGACTTGGTCAAGGAAGAAATAAAGAAAGAAATCAAAGACTTTTTAGAATTCAATGAAAATGAGGACACATCATACCAAAACTTGTGGGACTCCATGAAGGCAGTGCTAAGAGGAAAACTCATAGCTCTAAGTGCCTACAAAAAGAAACTGGAGAGAGCATGCACTAACAACTTGACAGCACACCTGAAAGCTCTAGAACAACAAAAAACTCAGGATATCGAAAATTATTCTCAACAACAAAAGAACTTCTGGAGGAATCACCATCCCTGACCTCAAGAGGTACTACAGAGCAATAGTGATAAAAACTACCTGGTATTGGTACAGAGACAGGCAGAAAGATCAATGGAATAGAATTGAAGACCCAGAAATGAACCCACACTCCTATGGTCACTTGATCTTTGACAAAGGAGCTAAAACTCTCCAGTGGAAAAAGGAAAGCATTTTTCACAAATGGTGCTGATTCAACTGGAGGACAATATGTAGAAGAATGAAAATTGATCCATTCTTATCCCCTTGTACAAAGCTCAAGTCTAAGTGGATAAAGGACCTCCACATAAAACCAGATACACTGAAACTAATAGAAGAGAAGGTAGGGAAGACCCTCGAATACTTGGGCACAGGTGAAAAGTTCCTGAACAGAACTCCAATGGCATATGATCTAAGATCAAGAATTGACAAATGGGACTTCATAAAATTGCAAAGTTTCTGTAAGGCAAAGGACACTGTCAATAGGACAAAACGACAATCAACAAATTGGGAAAAGATCTTTACCAATCCTTCATCTGATAGAGGGCTAATATCCAATATATATAAAGAACTCAAGAAATTAGACTCCAGACAACCAAATTACCCTATTAAAAAATGGGGTATAGAGCTTAACAAAGAATTTTCAATGGAAGAAACTCGAATGGCTGAGAAGCACCTAAAGAAATGTTCAGCATCCTTAGTCATCAGGGAAATGCAAATCAAAACAACCCTGAGATTCCATCTCACACCAGTCAGAATGGCTAAGATTAAAAACTCAGGTGATAGTAGATGCTGGTGAGGGTGTGGAGAAAGAAGAACACTCCTCCATTGTTGGTGGGACTGCAAGATGGTGCAACCACTTTGGAAATCATTGTGGCAGTTCCTCAGAAAATTGGACATAGCATTACCTGAGGATCCAGCTATACCACTCTTAGGCATATACCCAGAAGATGCTCAAACATATAACAAGGACATATGCTCAACTATGTTCATAGCAGCCTTATTTATAATAGCCAGGAGCTGGAAAGAACCCAGATGTCCTTCAACTGAGGAATGGATTCAAAAAATGTGGTATATTTACACAATGGAGTATTACTCAGCTATTAAAAACAATGAATTCGAGAGGTTCCTAGGTAAATGGATGGAACTAGAAATTATCATCCTGAGTGAAGTAAGCCAATAACAAAAGAACACACATGGTATTCACTCACTGATTATTGGATATTAGCCCAGAACCTTGAAATGCCCAAGATGCAACTCACAGGCCACATGAAGCTCATAAAGAAGGAAGACCAAGTGGGGGTGATTCGGTCCTCCTTAGAAGGAGCAACAAAATACTCAAGGGAGCAAATATGGAGACAAAGTGAGGGACAGAAACTGAAGGAGGGGCCGTCTGAAGACCACTCCACCTGAGTATCCATCCATGTGCAGTCACCAAAGGTAGATGCTGATGTGGAAGTCAGGAAGTGCATGCTGATAAGAGCCTGATATGGATGTCTCCTCAGAGGTCTTCAAGAGTCTGACATATTCAGAGGCAGATGCTTACAACTAGCCGTTGAACTGATCATAGGGTTCTCAATGGAGGAGTTTGAGTGAAGACTGAAGGAGCTGAAAGGGTTTGCGGCACCATGAGGAGAGCAACAATACCAACCAACCAGAGCTCCCAGGTTCTAAACCACCAGCCTGGGAGCACTTAGGGAGGGATCCAGGGCTTTAGCTGAATATGTAAGAGTGGAGGGCCCTGCTGGGCATACGTGGAAGAAGAGAACCTTGACCTCATGAAGGCTGGACGCCCCAGGGGGTGGGAATTTTGAGGGTGGGGAGGTGGGAGTGGGGGGGGTAGATAGAGGTTACATCCACAGAGAAGAAGGAGGAGGGGTGAGGGGATTGGGGGTTCCTGGGTGGGTGGGGGATGGGGTAAGAGGACAACATATGAAATGTAAATAAAACATCCAATAAAATAAATTTAAAAAAAAGAGAAATTTAATTGTCCCAGTTTGTTATTTTTTGATGTGGTCAACATTATGACCAAAAACAACATGTAAAGGAAAGGGTTTCTGACATCTTAACTCTTAAAACACATCACAGAGTAAAATCAAGACATAAAATCAAGTCAAGAACTTGAAAGTGAGAACTGAATCAAAAATCACTCCTCTGACTAGCTGTCTCTCCATGGTGGTTCTGTATGCTTTCAAAGACAACCCATAAACACAGGACCATGAATGGCACCAACCCCATCACCCTGGGACCCCACATATTTTAATTAATCTAAAAATTGCCTTCATAGGTTTGCCTATAGACCAATCTGTTGCAGGAATTTTTTTTTATTCAGTTGAGGTTTCTTGTATGCTGATGACCATAGTTTGTATTATGTTGATGAAATCCAAGCCGCCACACAAATGTACAGGGTGGTATTGTCACAATAACATAACTAATTTTTTGAGACTTCATGTGTCCATTACATATAAGTTAAAAAATAACTGAGCAAATAATAAGGATCCATCACTGAAATTGAAGAGAACTATAAATAATATGTAGATTTACCATGAATTCATGATATTTGCTAATGACTTTTTATTAGTAACTTTATTCTAGAGAGATTTATGTAAAAGTAGCATGATGGGACAGAATAGGGACACAGATTATCTCTGAAATAAATTTACATTTATTTTTGTGATAGTCCATTCCAAATTTTTGTAACCACAGTGAAAATATCAGACAAACCCAAGATGAGACCTAATGAGAATAGTGTCTAAAAAATGTCCCCCTAACCCTCAGAGAATCATGAACAAGAGGAACACAAGACTAATCTATTAATGACCATTAAATTTTAACAGGAAGGCCTTTTCTCTATTGTTGTGACTTGTCTGCACCACAGCTACTCACAGTACAAAGATTATTCACAAAGAAATAAAAGAAACAAAATGTGGGGACTCCAATGCCATGTAATAGATCCACATTCTCTGAGTCCTAGCAAACACACGGTTACAGCTCTATGCTTCTCTTCCCTGGTGTTTCCTTTACCAAGGCATGGGGAGAAGCTCTAAAGTCTCTTGATCTCTATGGTGATCAACACCTCAAGGGACAAGGCACCTCATGTTCATGTCTGCCATCTGCTCAACTTCCTGTCATCACTCTATGAACACTGGTTTACTTTTTACATCAGTTAGCATAACAATAACCTGGTATCATGCTACTGATTTTTATGAAATATTATGAACAGCTGACCGTCCCTTCACTGTCCAATATATAATCATATTTAAAAACATCATTTTTATGTGCTACAAGATGAAACAAGAGACAAATAGAAAGATATAAAAGAACATTGATACAAAAGGACTGACATAAATCCAGAGATATAAAGACCAGTTCCCAAAAGCAGTCTCCCTAATTAGGAAGGTTAAGTCACTCAGTGTAGGGACATAGGACCAACATCAGTCCCCTGGGTCTACTCTCAGATAAACCTTTGAAACCAAATGGACTAAATATGTGTGAACTCCTTCCTTACAAGGTGATTCCACAGAAAATGCTTTTTACAAAAGGTGATTCATCTTATATGAAAAAATATAAACATATAGTTGAAAAAAATGATGACTCTTTGCTAAGAAATAATTAAACAGATTTTATGCACAAAATTGAATAATTATGACACATATTTTGTATGCTAAAACAAGTGCAAATACTATGTACTTACCTTACTAATATGTATGGTTGTCAATTTATATGTAGATAAATTGTAGATCAACTGCAATTCAAGGCTATATACTGTCTGTGGTTTGTCACCTTTATTCTAAAAACCACCTGGTGAAGGAGGTGCCACTAATCTTGTTATGAAGGGAAGAATAAAAAACAAATTTTATATATATATATATATATATATATATATATATATATATATATATATCAGAAAGAAAAGAATCCTAGAGAAAGAATTTCTAATTAAAAAATCTCCAATTCCATCCTACATCCTCTACTGCTGTTTACAATGATATACAATTGAACTGAAGATAAAGTAACTTGTTCTACATGTATTTCATGAATAAGTATTCACCTACTGTAAACCTCCCTATCCCCCTTTTTTGCTTCCAAGGCCTTCAAAATGTGACTAATATTTTCTTTCCTGTATTTGGAATTCGAAATGCAGACATTACTGACTTTTCAGCTCCACTTTCTCTAAGCACAAAGGTAATCTCAGGCACAAGGAGAGGAAACTGGAAATTCTGCTCTGCACTTCCTTTAACATGTCAGGAACCTCCCATAATGCAAAGTAGCTTTCAGGCTCAGACTGAAAGCCAAGGCCTAACTGAGGAGCCTCATCTCTCCCTCACTAGAGCCTCCTTCAGAGCATGGCTGTCCTGGTGCTGCTTCTCTGCCTGGTGACCTTTCCATGCTGTAAGTGTTTCAGATTTTGAGGAGAGTCAGGCATTTAATTTATAGGATGTATGGCTAATGGTTATTTTTTATTTATTTATTTTTTTACCTCAGGTGTCCTGGCTCAGGTGCAGCTGAAAGAGTCAGGTCCTGACCTGGTGCAGCCCTCACAGACCCTGTCCCTCACCTGCATTGTCTCTGGGTTCTCATTAACTAGCTATGGTGTAAACTGGGTTCGCCAGCCCCCAGGAAAGAGTCTGGAGTGGATGGGAACCATATGGAGTGATGGAAGCACAGATTATAATTCAGCTCACAAATCTCGACTGAGCATCAGCAGGGACACAGCCAAGAGCCAAGTTTTCTTAAAAATGAACAGTATTAAAACTGAAGACACAGCCAAGTACTACTGTGCCAGAGACACAGTGATGGAAGTCCAGCATGAAACTGCACGAAACCTCCCTACAGGGATCCTCAAGACCAGCAGGGGGCACTGAGGACCTAGACTCTAGGAAGTTCTGGCCTATACTGTATGAGCAAGTGTTTTAATGTTAAAGATGTGGACTCTTCTTCCTGCCATGGAAATTCTCTAGAATCTTCATCTACTGTCATATTCTATTAAAGTTCTTACTTGTTCACATACTGGAAGAAGTTTTAAAAGGTTTTATAATCTAATAATATAAATAAGAACATATTATTGAGTTAATATTTATGAAGAAAACTCAGTGAAACACTATGTGGATGAGCACAGCCCAGGTGACTTGGTAGTGATTGTTTCTCTCATGACGGCTGGTTTAGTTCCATTTCTACTGTTTACTTAAATGATTTTTGAAGACAGTTGCGTTCATCTTCTCTAACATAAAGTTTTCAAATACATGTCCACAATTTAATGATAACACAATTAGCATATTGAGTGCTAACTCATAGTATCTTCTCTCCTTATCTAAAGAACATAATACATTGTTCTTAACTGTGGCCAACACCCACACATATTATTATTATTGAAATAATCCTTTCCATCTAACATACTATGTGGGGCAGTGGTCTATAAGAAAAAGCCAGAAAGCTTGGTAGAAAGCTCTAAAGCCCCGGAAACCTTGGTTTGAAGAAGGCCAGTAGGACGGGAGGACACTTCGAACTTTACCAAAAGCCATCTGTCTCTCTTACCTTCAGCTCCCCACAGCCCCTCCCACGGAGAGGTCCATGGCCTTTGATCATGTAGGAATAGCACCTTCATGCAAATAAGGCATTCCCAAGCTCTCAAACCAAGCCAGTAGGGTACCTGCTCTCCCCCCAAAATCTGTATATATTGCCCAAAGCTCAAAAAGTAAATTTGGATGTGAGATCTTTCCCGCTGTTGGAGACCTTTGTTGCAGTTCTTCATCTCCGGCTATCCTGTGCACTTCAAAGACAACACTTCTCCCCTCCCCGCCTCACAGTTTGGAGAGGTTTGGGCAGAGCTGTAACACTTTTCCCTCCGTGGGCACTCCGGGGCTTCCCTTGGAGAGAGAGAACCAAAAGAGCTGTAACACTTGCCCGCCTTTGGAGGCTGAAGCAGAAGTGGACCCTCCTGTCTGCTCTCCGCCCTCTCGGGCCCAGCTGTCCAAGGCTGCTGTAACCATGATTCAAGAGGCTACGTAGGCCCTGCCCTGCGCAACTGAAAAGTGTGCTGCGCTCCAACTCACGGCCATGCTCTCGCCCGCTCCTGCCTGAGCCTTGCGCCGCTGCAGCCGGTTTCCTGGACAGCCTCGGAGCACGGGGCAATGAAACCACACAGTGGTCTATCTATTGGAGTTCTAACATGTTCAGAAATTTCTGAAGGGAACAGAGGTCTGAACTACTATATGACTGGGCTTCTTCTTTAGTAAGATTCTCTCTACAAGTATAGTTTGTAGTAGTATCTGAAGTGTACAAATGTTTACTCAAATTTCTGTTTTCCTATGATATATATGATATGTATTTATTTATTTATTTATTTATTTATTTATTATATTGTTCACCTCTGTCTCCCTATATGTCTGTCTGTGTTTATTTGTCTCTCTGTATCTTTGTACTTCTGCTTCTGTCACTCTGTCTCTCCATGCTTCCTTCTCCATCTTTTTCACCAACGCTCAGTGTTTGAGTATATGTGAATGTGCTAGTGTAAATGTGTGTGTGTGTGTGTGTGTGTACATATTGAGATGAGTTATTTTCTTCTATCAATCTACACACTAACAATTGAAATATAGTCCATCACACTGGGCCTGGATCTTACCATCTGGCTAGACTGGTTGACCAGTGGATTCCAAAGACAAAGCTGCCTCCACATCTCAGACATGGACTTACTGGTTGGCTACCAAATCTATCTCTGTTTTAATTATGGAGAATTTAACACAGATCCTTTTGCTTTTGTGGCATAGGAACTTGAATCAGAGAGCTATATCCACAGACTCATTATAGACGACTTTTAATGTAGAATAAACTCATGACTTGAACACAATGCAAAGCAATGCACAGGGCAGACATGATAGTGTATGGGACCAGGACTAGATCCTGAAGAAACAAAGAACCCTTGAGATGATGGAACCTGAGACACAAGGCAGAGACTCAGTAAGGTTCTCTGGTTAGACACTGTGTGAGATTCAAGTTAGAGCCAACATGGAAACCAGGCAGGGCCAGTCACCTATGAACCAGATGAAATTCAGTCTGCCCATCATCCTCACACAAACCATGTGCAAAAGACCCAGCACAGACCCAACTGTGTTACTGGTAATAAACTGTGTGTGAGGCTCCAGGACACGAGGATAATGTAACTAGTGATAATCACTGAGCCTCATTTAGCTGCAAACAAATCCTAACTCACTAAGTGGGTAACATCTCTTTTCTTGCTCTCTTTTTATTTAGGATGTTTTAGCTTGCATAGTTCCTCTAGAGTTTAATAGGCCAAATGATTTTTGTTTTAACACATTAATCTGTTTTTCTTTCTCCAAGTTTCTAAGAATCTTATTTGCACTGCTGTCCCAAGAAAAGGATGCTTGGCTCACTCTGGGTGGGGACTCCTCCAATGAAGCTCAGAAGAAGGTTGGTGTGGGACCTAGAACCTGGATAGAACAGTCTTCAATAGCATTTTCAGGTCATATGGATCATGAAACTATAAAAGAGGAGCTGGTTATTGGAATCCAGAGAATGATGATTGTTCGATTAAACCATAATGACACCTGGGGAAGTTATCTAAGTTTGTCAGATTGTCATGAAATTGTGTTGCCTACGTTGATGGCACAGGTTTGGCTACAACCCATTGGTGTGCTAGGAATTCTGAAAAATGGAAAGAGAGGGTTCTGTATTTGTGAGTTAAACCATTAGGCAGAGATCTGGATGATGTGGGCAGGAATCATGGATCTGTCTACAAACTGATTCTACTTTAAATTTTCTGCTCTGCCATCAACTGGTCTATTCACCTGTGTAAGGACAAATTTCCTGAAAGAGATTAGAGGCTTTAACCTCATAGCACAAAATATTCCCAAACATAACTAGATTAGTGAATGTTACAGTAACTGGAAACTGTGGTCCACCCAGCTGAAGCCTGTGACTTACAATGTCTCTGATTTCATATCAGTTTCTAACAAACCTTGATACATATTCAGCACACAATTATCACAGTCTTGGGACTCTTATCACGGAAGCCATAGAAATGAGCTTGTGTCAAGTTCACAGTGAACGGGTCCTGAATGAGTGGACTTCAGTTCAGCCATGGAAGAAAGCAAGTATGTACACACGACGCTTTCCTCTGATGATGAGGGTAGGAAGTGGCCTCAGTGCTTTGCTGGGATGAGTACCCAGCATGTTGATCAGGACACTCTCCATCTGGGAGAACACCTCTCGACTTGCTGCTCTCATACAGAGTGGTGACCACTTCCTTCTATTAAATACACATTGTAAAAAAAAACAGTTTAAAGAATCAAAAGTCCAACATTTGAGATTTCTATTGTATGTTTGTATCACTGAGGAAAAAATGGGTAATTCTGATTATTCACTCACTGTGTTTTAGGAAAGTCTCCTAATTAGTAGAATTATTTTAGTCCCAAATCTGAAGCTCTGATATTCTTATAGATCCCCTTGGATATTCACAACCTGAACATCTGGGTCTCACATCTTAGATAAGTACTGTTCTTTCATGGGATCCTTGGTTCAACCATTAAATCAATCTGTGCTTAGTTCTGTGGTGATTTTGATGTGTTTTTTTTTTCACGTCAATATTGCTGCGATTTTCCAGTATATCTTACTGTAGAAAGGCAGTTCCTTATTGTGTGTCTAACACCTAAGCCAAGTTGTCTGCAGAACTTTACAGGAGGAAAACTGACAATGAGATTGGTCATGGTTTCGGAGTTAATAGATTAACAAACAAAATGATACACTCTAAAAATTTTTAAGGAAATTCTCTTTTCTAGTAAAATCTACGTCATGTCCTATAAACCTCTTATACATTTATAGACATTAATTTCTTCAAGTTAATGAAATTTTCTTCTATGGTATTGTTGGAGGTCTTTTCTGAACCTTTGAGCTGGGAATCTTCTTTTATGCCTTTATTCACACATCTGATCTTTTGATATTTTCCCAAATCACCTGGATTTTTTGTGTCATCAAATTTTGAGATTTTGCATTTGACCATTGCAACAATTTCTTCTTTTGTATCATCTATGCCTTAGATTCTCTCTTATACCATGTGTATTCTATTAGTGATGCTCTGTCTGTACTTCTTGTTTGCTTTCTTATGTTTTACATCCAGGATTGCCTCAGTTTGTAATTTCTTTATAGCTTATATTTACATTTTCAGTTCTTGGCAGTTTTATTTATTTCTTTCACATATTCAAATGTATTTGCCTGAATTCCTTTACAGGATATATTCACTGCTTCTCTAAAAAGACTTTCTCACATTTATAAAATGGGGCTTAAGGTCCCTTTTGTGTGCTCTGGCTGTGTTGTAATACCCAGGACTTGCTGGGGCAGGATAGCTGGGCTTCAGTGGTGTTACGCTTCCCTGGATCTTGTTAACTGTGTTCTTACACTGTCCTTTAGGCATGTTAATTTCTGTGGTGATGACTGGATGATCCTGATGTCAGAAGGAAACCTGAGGAAGGCAGGGAGAGCAATGGGATGACAATGGAGGTCAGGGGGCAGCACATAGCTTACATGTGCTGACTGTGACCCAGGCCAAACCTGACTGGCAACAGGGTTGTTGGAGAGAATTTCAAGCTGGATGTGCTTGTGGACCCCTCTAACGCCTCCATAGGGAAACAGGAATCTTAGCATCCTCTCAAGACTACAGAAAAAAAAAAAACACAGATCCAGGCAATGGGGATCAGGGGACCATAAACACAAATTATTCTGCTACTCTGCCCCAGGAAGACAAGACTGGAAAGGAACTTGTGAAGCAGGGTTCCAATATGGTTGTTCTTTGGGGCCCACCACAGGAAACTAGGATGTTCTGGTGGTTCTACAAGACTCTAAAATGTAACCT